GTGAATGCTAACACTCCCCTATAAGAAACTTTTCCAAGGTCTGGGAAAGTGAGTGACAGCTGAAGGGCACAGAGCAGCAACAGGTCTGTGCCTTTGGTTTGCTAGGAAACAAACTTCATGGAGACGCATGTTGTGTTCTTCCAAGCTGGTTGTTGAGTGTTAGCTGCATTAGCTAGTGCAAAATAATTGGAAGCGTGAACTAAAATATTCCTATCAAATCTTTTAATTTGTGTAGAACAAAATACTTCGGAAAGCTTAAAAATAAAAGGTGCATAAAGTGCCACCTGTAGTGTTTATATGCATATATTTATACGTACCCTCTCTGTGCATTTATAAGTATGCTTTACAGAACATTTAGGTATCTTATGATTTGTTATTTCAAGAATAAACATGGATGAATGCAAAAGCTTGGAAATGATTGGGTTACAAATTTAATTCTTTTAATGTTTGATGTTCTTTAGCAGTCTGAGCAAGATTAGGAAGAAGATAGAGGCACAGCTGCTGTAGGAACACAGTGTTCACCCTTGCTGCGAGTGCGCTGAGCGCCTTGTTCCCTCATGGTATGCATCTCTTGAGCCTCATGTTTGAGGGGGAAGTAAATCTGTAAGGAAGGATGGTACTTTAGCACCTCAGAGGCTACGTGTCCTGTTGCTAAAAGTTRCATACAATATCAGGAAGCTGGCCTTGGGTCTCTTATGTCCTTAGCCGTATATTCTTTTCTCCTAGAAACATTAAAATTGGACTGAGGGTTGGGAGGGGTGTTGCGGGGGAAAGTCTTGACATGTCATTTTTCTGAAAAGCCTTTTGGCAGACTGAATCCTGAACACCCACAGTCATGATCAGAGGAGCATCTGTGTGAATATCTTTGAATAGCGCAGGTCATGACTGATSTGTTTATGAGCATCTTTCAAGGTGTCTCCCAGGGAGACTGAATTTCACTTCTCCTGACTGAATTTTCTTTGGGATAACCTCATTCCACTGTGTGATGTTTTCATGTAAAGAACTTTATAGAAGGAAAATCCRTACCGCTGGCTATAGGGAGAAATAATAGCTACAAATATGTGTTTTTTCGGTATCATTTGGGTATCTGTGTAGTAGATGAGTGTGCTTGGGTATCTATGTATAGTAAATGGAGAGAAGAGCAAATGCCAAAGCAGCTGGAATAACTGGAATTCATTTGGCAGTTCAGGACTTCTAACTTTCCAAATTCTGGATTGTTAGCACTTGTGTGTTTGTCACATGATAATAATGGTTAAAGAAATTACATGATATACAAAGGCTTTCAGGTAGTGATGGCATGCTTTATATTTCTAAATAAGTTTAGTTTACTGAGAACTGTAGTCTATTTCTGCCTTCATTAAATTAGCATCACTTATGTTTTAATAAGGAGGAAAACAGAAAATCTATACAAGCTGACAATCACATTTAGCACGAGAAATACTAAACAGGATCGGTTTTATTGCTTTTATAGAAATGAATTTAATGCAGATAGTCTAGTGTAGCTAGTTCCTAGATTTATGTGTGCAATTTTGATGTACTGAGTGTAAAATTACATTTCTTTCTAACATTAAACATAAAAATACAATAAACTGTAATGGATATTTTTCAGTACATGAGGTTACAGATGTGAAAGTCTAAGCATCTGACAAGCATGTGTATCTGGGAAATGCATTTTCATTAACCTTTTCTATTGTGTAGGTCTTTGGAGACAACATCCTACTACTTTTCCTTCGTTTTGTACAGATAGGAAATGAGAGCTTGCACTATAAAGCWTCCAAATGGTCTTCCATAACATTGTTTAATTACTTATGCATTCAAAGCTGTGCTTCCTGATAGGATTTAATAATAGATTTTCTTAAAATCCATAGGCATAGAAAGTGCTCTGACTTTGAATCAAACAATGAATCACTACCAAAGTGCAAATCATCTATAGTCTTTATTTCCCTCATATATTTATGTATTTATTTTGGTGAAAATTGTGTGTGTCTGTCATCTTGTCCCATCTTTTATGATACAGGAAAAAAAGGACAGGTCAAGCAAAAGAGGAAATAAAACTGCAATGCTTTTTACTAAGGCCTTTTGGCCAAGAAAGRCAATGTAAAACCTGTCCAGTATGCCAGCTGCGTGTGCTCTTATAAGGAGTGCTTGYCCATCTATGAATGGGATGAATCAGCAGTTGTGCTACATGAACATGGGGTGAAAATAAACCTATTAATCCTGGCTAGTAAGAAGTGCTGRGTTCTCCTGTGTGTTAAATCTCTTTTTCACACAAGATTTCAGAAGGTACCTTATCCATCTAAGAGTCATGGCCACTGTCCTGAAAATAAAAATATCATCATCATTTTTAAATCATTGAAGACACGTCTTAGGTAACATTATTCTATCATTTTTAAGTTCTATACTGTTCACCTTCTGGCAAAAGCTCTCCTCAATTCTGTGCTAATGAGGTATGATTTACTCTGTTCTGTAGCAGTTGTGCCTCATATTCAGAAAACATTCACTGGGCCAGGAAGTTAAAGCAGAAATAAGCCACAGAGTTTGTGAAAGGGAGTTGATTATTTTGCGTTGTGTGCTTATTCTTGGGTGAGTACCCTGGGTTTCTAAATATTTAGATTCCGTTTAGCTATATTTAAAGGGAAGATGTGGCTAGTACTGTACTTTGTGTTGGGTTTGTTCTCAAAACAAATATGGTATTAAGCTCTTTTTTTTAGGGAAGACTAGAGCTAAGTTACTGGTTTGCTTCTATGTTCACCTTACCTACCAGGTAACAGTTCTGCTAATGCGAGTTAGGGGTTGACAGGTAGTAAAGCTACTCCCTTTGCCTGTACCCCTGTACCAACAGTAGTAAGCAACATCTGTAGAAATAATATTTTCTGCCAAGGCAAGGCTGTGTTTCTACCTGGGGTTCTATGGTGCTTTCCTCACTTTTCTAATAAAGCTTCTGTATAAACAAGTTTATGCTAGCTGTATATTAGTGTTTGCACTGTTGTACTTYTAGAAATTGATAGTACTGCCATTTATCTCATTAAAAGGCTTTAGGATGTTCAATGCAATAAGAAGTCTACAGGGAATGGCTGTTGGGCTGGATGTCTTGAGACTTATCTGAGCAGCTGAGCTGGCTCTGAGCTCTACTGCTCTGTAAGACTGTTTAGATTTGGACATCCTGCTCCCCAAGCCACTTCACTTCATACTGGCCATGCCAGAGCATTCCAGTAGCTGAAGCTGRAAAAGGAAGGAGTATCTTGGCTACACTGCACTATGCAAAGAAAATAAGAACATAAGGCAATAAGGATGTCTTGAAAGCTTGAGGTGATTCATTATGATAGGAAGCTTTCTCCCTTTAAGTTTATAGCGACTGGAGAGTAGTCTGGCATCCAACACAGCTGAGGTTATGCTACCTACATATCTGTTCATAAAATATATTGAATATATTCAAAACTTCTTCTGTAATAAGCTAATCAAACAGTCTGACCTGAGTGACAGTCTATCCTGCTGCTGAGTGGTGCCCAAAAGCACAGAGAAGCAGTGGTGGGGAGGCTGAGATGTGGTCTCCACTCGTGGAGGCCTGAGAAGAGCCTGCAGAGCTCTAATGTCCGCAATGCTACTAAATGGAGCACCAAGTGGACAGTAGTCTTAAAGGCTGAATCTGCCTGGCATTTTTTTTCAGAGCAGGTTTAAAAACATTACTGAGGGACATAGGCAGTCTGTGGCTAACAAAGTAACAAGAAGGTAGTTTGAAGTTTAAGCAGTAAAAAGCAGAGCTTTTTAGTGCTTGCTGTATCAAAAACGCAAAGAACACCCGAAGTGTCTGACTCTGTCTTTTGAAGAGGCTGAATTTCCAGGTCTAGTGTCATTGTAAAAACTCACTTTTGCAGTCATTTAGAGTAAAAATTCCTGAATAAGTTTTTGAGATTTAACCGTCTGTTTCCTATACCTTGTTGAAAAATATTTTCATCTTCAATATTTTAAAATAGCTTCTAACGTAGCTAAAAGGATAACATGCTAGATTTTTAAAATAGCAAATAACACATGCCTGAAATGTTGCTGTCACCTAGTTATTTCTGTTCTTCAACAATAACAAGAACTTTTAAACATCTGCACTCTTTGTAAAGCCCTACAGTATATACATGTACATAGTACCTACGTGTATACCATCACTTGCTGGTTAAAGCTAGCTCCTAGGAGCAGGAAACTGTGGAAACAGGGACCTCAGAGGGAGACTGAGCTTCTGAATTTGCTCTCCTAAGTTCAGGGAATGCGTGTCTTGTTACAGTGTCTCTGGAGCTGGAGTTTCACTGTTCATCCTTCCTGTACCAGGTGGCTTAAAAACATTCTGAATAGGTAAAGGGCAGCTGTAATTTTATCTGTTAAGGATAGATATTCCTTTCACTGTCTGTATTTTCAGAAAAGGCTTCTACTCTCTTCCATATCATATTCAGGTATGCTTCTGCATCTTGTACCGTGATTATCATTCTAGTAAGGTCTTCTAAGCTGTCTCYGATTCAAAAATCATGGATCATGCGCAATGAATGTTCATTACCAAGGAGGAGGAAAGSGCGTTTATATTTCTCGCTTTAGCGGTCTTGTTCATCATGTTCCTTATTTCTGTTTCAATTCCTTTTCAAATAATAAGATCAAATAGAATTTATTTTTCTTTTACTAATATTTAAAGTTTAACTTTTGAAGCAATTTCAGCATTTGGGTTTTTCTGATCAATATTTTCTTACGCTTTTCAAAGCAGTAAAAGTGTATTATGCTGCTTTCCTTTCTCCCTTCTTTAGACTCTGGTTTCCATTAGTTTCTGAGACCGCCTTTAATCTGCAACAGGCAATTTAGATGTAGCTTCTAGTTTTCTAATGCTGCCGATGCAGCCTTCTCTTTTCCTGAATATTCCCGCTGACATTCTCTGTACCTCTAAAACTTGCTTGTATTGAAATTGTTTTGTGTGTATAGCAGTTTGCAGACACCTACAAAGAGACCTTTTYTTTAATTGTAGGATTTAAAAAACAAAACAACAAGACGAAGCCAAAAGAAGGCYAGGAGCACTGCAGACCCTTTGCAGTGATTTGATTTTGCCCTAAAACGCTGAGGAATCTTGCAAGGCAGAATGGTTAACTCAGAGGTGACCTAAAGTTCAGCTCAAGTAAGTGGAAAAATTTCTGTTGACTTTAATGGGTTTAGATCATGTCATATTTATTCAATAATTTTTCAATATAGATAGAAGTAATGTGCTTAGAGAAGTCCAGGAATCCACAGATACCTATATTTGTACTTTAAGTGGATTYACTCAACAAAAAAGTTGTTTTGACGTTTCTAAGAATGAGATATAGCTAATTAGGAAACTGAAAATATTAAATTAACACAGGTCACTTTATAGTAGAAGAGGATTACTGCACACCACCTCAAAAGAACGGTTTTAAAAATAGTTAAATGCTAAGTTCCAAGGCAATTTCATTTTCTTATTGTAATGAACAAATTTAACGCTTGGATGTGTCCTAGAAATAGTCATCCCAAGGCAATTTTACATTCTTGTTGTTGTGAATATTTGATGCATGAATCTGTCCTAGAAATAGTGGCGTTTGGAACAGAATACACAGCATTTAAATTAAAAAAAGTACTTAATCCCACGCCAGCCACCAACACTCTTGAAATGTAAATTGGAATTTGGAGGGGACAGAAATGGATAGCTTAGGATGGAAAGAGTCAGCTCGAATTGCTTATTTTTATATGTTCTCTTGGGTCCTGGAAGATGGGGTTTCAGGGGAGAAGGAAAGAGGATGTAGGGAACATTAAGGAAAATAATATGAACTATTTTTGATAAGACTGAGAAATTCATATATTTTAAAGGAAGGTGATTGAAGAAAGACTCTGGTTATATAAAAGGTATGTTTGCATAGTAACCGCATCCATGTTAGTGATCTGTGCTAAGTGATTTACATGGAGTGTAAATCTCTCTTACAGGGTACTTTCTTTCAGGCTGTCCAATGCTATTTTATAGTACTGCTTTAGCACACTGAAGGTGAATTTAAGCAAAGGAAACTGGGAATGTTTAAATTCAGCTTCTCTCTATCCACTGTGTTTCCTTCTTTTCTGATCCATGGGTAAATTGGGGAGCAACACTACACTTTAGATGCCACAGTTTTAACTGAGAATGATATTCCTGAAGAGCAGACAGTAGGAAGTTTTAATAAACACACACACAAACCTCAATTTCTCACCAGAGGATTTTTTTCATGAAAATGAAGCGTGCGATATTAGCAGATTTCTGTCTCTCTTATTTTGCATAGTTATAGAAAAAGTATAATTCAGGACAAAAAAAAAATCTGAATGCTCTGCAGGGCACTCATCTCTTTTCCCATTCAAAGTACAGCCATCTATGTCGTAAGTTAATCACTGAAAGCTCTCTATGGTCGTAGGAGAGAGAAGATACCTGACTTAATATTCGATGTCTGCTTAAGATGAAATGTACTGCATGTTAGAAATACCTTCCTCTTTGAATACAGGGCAATCAGGATGACTAGCTTAGATGTAAATTATTCACTAGATGTGTGTTTGAATGGATGACTCCTCTTTTCCATCTTCCCTCAGGAGACTGGTGCAGTGCTGACGTCTGGAGGTTCGAGACCTTTCCTTACTATTTTTTCCCCGTATGCCCTTGTGTAGGTGGAAACGACTGACCTGAAGACCACGGCAGAATTAGCCTCTTTAGCCTCTGTTTAGCCTCTAGCGTACTAGGCATTATATAAAATAACAACAAAGTACAGACAGTGCCCTGAAGGATTCGGTTTAAATCTGCAGACACCTTTGTTGTGCCCTTTAGTTGGCAAAGGGGAGAACAGCAGGTATTTTGTAAATGTCTAAGCAAATCTCTCCCCTTGGGATCTGTTTACGGAGTCTGTTCTGAAAGAATGTGGATGCATGGATCTGTTGCTGGAGCACCTGTCTGAAACACCAAACACACACTTGGTGTTCCTATGGTATTTTGGGTGTTGTACAAGGAATTTGTACCATAGCATTTTAATAATTGCTCTGAGTTATATTTAGAGCTGACTGAATTGCTCATTAGGGCTAATTTTTGCCTAGGACTTTGCTGTTTTCTTTTTACAAATAATTAGTGAATAATTACACTAACTAGCTTTGGAGAAGTCCAAAGTATATGGTAAACGTTTAATATAAATGGGTTTTGGTTTTTAGGACACCTGACCTAAGGAATCTCTTCCATTATTTAACTGTTTCAAATTAGGTTCTTTATGACTGGATTAATCAGGAGCTGTTTTTTGTTGGCTTTATTGCTGGTGTGTTTGGGTGTGGGGGCAAAGCAAAAGGCATAATTTATACTTAGAGTGTTTATTTGTTTTGCGAATGTAAACCAGTGTACTTTGCTTTATAGGGTGCATAGCTCCTGTGATGTCTTTTCCAGTTGCTTGGTAGAACAACTCTTACTATGCTGTGATCTGCAATGGTCATATTCTGATTTACTCTTTTTTTTTGTGAGTTTTATTGAATAATACATCACGGGTCCTCTATTATGTCAAAGTGATATAATAATAAAGCAATATAATCACTTTGCGATGATAAARGGACTATACAGGGCCAAAATCCCTAAGTAGAGCTACTGTGCAAAATTCTGTTCATCACATCTTTTGTTGACTATGAAATGAGGCCCCAGGCCAAATGAATGTGTGATCATGTGCGTAGCTGGAACCTTTGAGAGATGTGCACGGCGCTCACTGCTGTGTACGTGGAGTTTCTATTCAGAGATATTTGCCAGAAATAAGTCTGAAGTTAGCTTTCTCTTAAAGATCCATCCATCTCTTTTTTTTTAAGAAGTTAGATGTCCTCCAACTCCTTTATTTCTGTTGGAGTCAATAGTGCAAGTGATGTAAACAACAATTTTCTTGGAGAATTTCTCTCTTTTAATCAACTCAAAGTTTATGCATYGTATAAAAAAAATGCATGTTGTGTGTCACATTGCAAATGAACAAATTAAAAGGTGACAATGTTTTGATTTGCTAGCCTTCTTAAGGAAATATCTGAACTAGAAAGAAGTTTTTCAAAAACTGAAAAGTCAATTTTCAATATACAGTTTTTATACTTGGCCTCCTAGTAAAGCCTAGAATTAAGCCTCCATGTGTGCCTTTAATTCAGCTGAAGGAAAAATCATGGCATCTTAAATAGATGCTATGCCTTCACAACGATAATTTGACTGGATTGGTCACTGATACCAAAAGATTAAAAGCTGGATGTGCAGCAGAAAGAATTGTGGATCTCCTCCGAGGCTCTCCTGAAGGTAGCAGCCGCTCCACGTGGKAAGACAAGGGTTGCAGAGCTGTGCCCTGGGAAGCAACTGCCATGATGGCGTGCATCAGTTTGTGGCAGTGGAGAAACTCTTCTGTTTGCTGTAGGATTCCCTTCTCGGCTCTGGAGAAATGGGCTTTCATGTTCCTTACTCGTGTTGAACAGGGAAGGGAAATTCTGGCCTGTATCAAATGTGCATCTGAGGAGTGCCATGATAAACATAATTGCACCAGAAATACCTTAATTAAAATAACCTTTGCACAGACTACTGTAGGAGCCAATGATACCTTGTAAAATGAACATTTGCTTTGTGCTGTTTATTTGGGATATTTAAAGTTATCTTTCAGGACTATTCGTTCTACATGGGTTCTTCCCTCTTTATGCCTCTCCTCCTTTCTCCTGACTGGCCAGGCTGAAGARCCACTGTTGGCCAAATTGTGTAATTCTTGCCCTTCCTTGCTGAGAACTGTTAAACTAGCCGATTCTTTCGAGCTCTTTATTTCATTATATCTGCAGCACATTGCGGATGGCGTATAGCTTATTGTAAGGATCTGCAAGAACTTTCCTCTTGTTCGGTGTGAGACATACAGATGCCAGAGTTCTGCAAGAACTCTTCAAGCTTTAGTGGAAGCTTCCTGGCTGCCTCAGTCTTACTGTGTAGGTGTGACCAAGAGTTCCGTAGACCTGTAATCTGTAATAGACTTGTAATCACAGGAGCAAATCCTGTTGTTTCTGTGCATCTTTTGAAGTGCTTTGTTGAGTTAGAAAAGTCTCCAGACRATCTAGCCTTGTTCAGTGTGCAGCAATTAAACTGCCATGAGCACTTCAGCTAAACAGGGCAAAGTATCTGCACAGTCCTGCTAGTTGTTAATGATTATGTTTCCCTCTAGATCGAGGGATTTACAGTCTGTGTATCTGCCTCTGAGCTAGTAGTCCAGAGTTTCTTTATAGTCAGTGGAAGAAAATAGCACTTTTAAGACACGTGTCACCTCCTTCTGAAGTTAGCCAGATTAAGTCTATGAATCACACTGTGGGGGGAAAAAAGATTCTGTAGTCCTTCCACAACCTATATAGTGAGGTTAAGTGACAGAGCTGGATATACCCTTATGTATGCTGAATGCTTAAAGGAGGTATATCCTACCTTTCCTGTCTTTGTTTCAGGACAGCTATTTCTTTCCTTTATACCTTGAACTTTGTCCAGACTTGTAGGCTGGACAGAACTACATGGGCCTCTGTTTTATCTGTTTCCCAGARTTACTTCTAAGCTGTTTTATTGGGTTTTTGTCTTGCACAGATTTCTATCTAGATGGTTAATTTTAATAGTCTGTATTTAAAAGTGATGATTAACATTCTTAGAGATTTTCAGCAACAGTTCTGAAGTACATGCTTATATTTATACCTTTTAAATGTGTTTTCTTTTTCTTTCCCCCTCACTCCTCTTTCCTCTGCATTTTCTCCATCAGATTTTGCAGGCTCAGGCATTTTAAAGTCAGGGAGATGTCACTTGTTTAAGACTGAATTACTTTGCTGTCAGGAGAGGCTCTTGTTCCTTATCTTGGACAAAATAAAGAGGTATTTAATGGATAAGGCATTTCCTGCTGATGAGGTATATATTAACAAGAGCAACCTACAGCAAGCTATTTCTTTCACCATCACAAGCTGCATTAACTGCCTAATCTAAAAGCAGAGTACTTTGCTTTGATAGATAGGCTATGGGAATGGTGTCATATTAAGGTGATGTGAAGAAGGTTAGAGCTGTTAGAAGCAAATGACCTTTAAGTTCTTTGCCTGGCACAGGTCTCTTCTAACCTGCCACATTTTCTAGATTCTCGTGCATTTGTTTGCTTTGTCTCTAACATAGTTTACTTCATATTTCAAAAAACCATCAGGAAACTGAAATTTAAGGGGCTGAGTAACAACAACAAATAACAGAATCAATGTTTCTGCTGATTTCCCTTGGCACAGTGAAAAAGCTGATAAGTACAGTCAAAAAAGGGCTGCAGGAGAAACCAAGTTAGTCAAGTGATGAGATATTGTCCAACTGTGTGGTGTTTGAGGAGTATGAGATGTATGAACTCTTGCCACACAGTATTTCCCAGATTAACTAAATCTAATTAAGCTACCTCTTGTGTGTATTTAAAAAAACAGGAGCGGGAGGGAAGCTCCAGATGGACAATTAATAAAGAAAACTACATGTCAGTTTATTTTCTTTAATTTTTTACAGTTGATCTTTTGTGTGCTCTCCATGTTGATTTTAAGGTGCTATTAGCTCTGTTTTCCCCCTCTGTTTCTCTAGATTTCAAGTCCAGTTATAGAACTCGGTAGAGATTTTTTTTATTTGTCTTGAGTATTTCCCACTTCTCTCTTATTAAAAGTTATAAGATATCTTCTTATGTCCTTAAGAATATATTATGTAAGATATATTCTTTTTATATATATAATATGCACACACTCTTCTTGTATCTTCTTATTCCTTTAATAATGATTAAAGGAATTTGGTTGAATATAAATTAGAAATGATATTTAAATACTTTTATGCCCTATATTAATACTGACTTTTCTGTGAAGTTTAATGGTACAGCATTCATATTTAAGTAGTAAGCGTCTAATTTCCCTAAAATCTCTGTTCTCATTCCATTGGTATTACTTGTCTGAATTAGGGTCAMTATGTACGAAAAGCTGGGAAAACTAGGTACAGACTTAGTCTTTCTATTTGTAGGTGARCATGAGAGATTACATTACTAAACTATTTTTACTTCCAAGAATATRAGTTTTTTGCCTTGTTCTGTGTTCATAATTACAGATTTTTGGATCGGGCGTAAAGCATAAACTACAGCTCTAGGAAATAGTCACAGTCTCTATGYGATAAATACGCATATGTATAAAATGCATACTGTATGCATCTTTTTGATGAAATATTGGAGCCAAAGTTTTCTTTCTGAAAAATAGCAAATATTTTGCTTGTGATTCACGTTAACATCTCAACAGCATCTAATCCTTAGGCATTTTTATTTGAGTTTTATCATGATAGGCTGATGAAAATAAGACACGTAAGCACTATATTATGTATCATCTTTTTTGGATGAAAGCATTGAATTAAATGCCATATTTCATTGTTGCTTTTGCACAAACATGAATCTGAGTTGCAAAGGAAAAAKCATGTTATGTTGATGTTAACAAATCACTTTAATAAATTCTTTTGACAAACCATTTTCTGGTAGCATGTGCCAAAATTTTTTCATAGGGTAGGAGAGAGATATTTTATATTAATATATTAAAGTTACTAAAATCCATATGTATCACTTGGTGAAAGCTTAGTACAGAAATGAAAGGACTGTAATTTCTTACTGTTCAGTATAACATAACACTGAACCCAAATGTTGAATTTTTTTTCTTTATTACAAAACAATAGTTTCAGTGATGTTCACAGAAATGGTGATGGCTTGACCTTATAGATCGTTATCTCTTCTCTCGATCAATATAGAGGGTGCTTAGTTCCTTATTAGGGCAGGTTCTCAATATCATGCAGTCCTAAATATGTGCTTGCTAGTACTTGTCTAATGTAGGACAGTCCTCCTTCCTTTTGTGCACCTTCACCATCTGCTTCCTGATGATAATCCCATAGGTAAGAAGTCACAAGGAGTAACAAAAAAACAAATTGTTTATTTTTTTCTGAAAGTGAGAAATGTTTAAAAGTATGAAAAGGAACAGCTGTTGTAGTACGATAGTACATACAGGTACAASGGCAGCGTGCACAGCATTGAAGCCATCCATCAGACTGCCACAGATTTGAGAAKCAGAATGATTTCCCCTTTGGTGTATACCTCTGAACTGAGTCGATGTAAAAATTACAGTACGTCTATGTAAACCCTATCCCAAAACCCAGCCCTGCCTCTGAGATAATTTGGCAAAAGTCACGGATGCACCCGAGTGCCTTCCTGGTCAGGGATTTCTACATTTCTCAGTCAGCAACAGAAGATTTTTGTCTCTCACACAGAGAATGAGGGATTTCAGAGGAAGCTTGCGCAGCATACAGATAAGTTAAATACACTGCGTAAGGTTAACAAAGTGGAAGGGCCCAGAGTTGGAAAGTTGCTAATCTTCATGTGTAAGGCAGAAGAGTTGACTCAGGCTGACCCTGTGGCCCTGGTATTAAGAGCAATCTCTTGATACAGTTCATTAGCTAAATTTCTGGCTCAGGTTACAATTTGGATGGAGAATGCATGTTGGTTTCTTAAAATTAGATCATGCTTTCTGCACTGCTTCACTTGCTGGACTGGTCACTTTGCCTATCAGATTAAGATTTGGGCTGCAGTGTTTGTAGTATAGCTATGACTTCAACAGTTAGCATTTAGCAGGATACCTGAGATAAAGCCTATTACTGTAGCTTTATTCTTTCCTCAGAGAGGAAAGACTACGGAACAGCTACAGAATTCCTGCAGCAGYGAATTGTCCTTTAATGGTTATTTCGATTATTCATGATAATTTTACCATTTGTATTTGGTTTTGTCTCCAGATGGTTAGATTTACTGTTTAGAACTGTCGAATGGAATAATCTACTGTAGTAAGTTACAGAAAAATGAAGTKGACATGAGAAGGAGCCCCTGCTAATATATGAAAATGTTACCTGTGCCTGGTGAGAAAAATGGCTACTTTAGGGAAAAAGAAGATAAATCTTCTGTGTGCCAAACAGGCAGCAGAACCGTGAATGGTGAATGCCATGGAGAACTGGTTTTCTATTAAACTGATGGTGGAGGATGGACCAAAGTTCTGCTGTGGTATAACTTAATTGATATATCTAAAAATAATAATTAATTTGTGGAGCACTTTGTCAATCTCTCATGGAAACTCAAAGAATTAATTTTTTTTAATCTGGAGCTTGTGGACGTTTACTTTTTTCCTAAGGACACTAAAAAAAGACATAATTTAAGTGCAAATTCTGTATGTATCTGTGTGTAAAATATATATATACATTTTTATGTGAGTAGATATATGCATCTGTGTTTAAATATATTTTTTGTCTCCATATTTGAGACATAAGTGACTGTATATTGTATTTAGCCAGGTAGTTTCTTAGTAAGGCAACATTGGCATACCCAAAGATTGATACCCACAATAACGATGAAAATATCTCCATTAGTGTTTAATTCAGATGAAGTAGTAAGTACTGTTCTTGCTGAGAAGACTTAAAGTGGTGCCCCTTTGATTTACATCATGCAGATAGGGCAATCCAGTCATTGCTGAAACTAAGCAGGGCCAGTTATAGGAAAGATCTCAACACTCTAGTACCAGCATCACATTTAAAGCTATAATGCGYTGGTTTTGCTGGGCCCTAGTCCCATGGATTCCCAACAGAGCTCTAGTTTTCTCAAGCGGAGAGGACTGAACTCCATGGAAATGCTGAAACACCATCAGTAGCTGGGGGAAACATGGAGCTTGGATGACTAGGGAAGCGGTTGACGAGGGAGCGTATAGGGAAACTGTCCTGTGAGCAGCAAAGGCTTTTCCTCACTTTTAGTCCAGCTGGGCAAAGGAGAATTTGCAAAAATGAGTAGGTGAGAAATGAACTTAGTAATATTATACCACGGTATCTCAGTATATTATTTTAGCCCTTTGTCTGTCTGCTTGTGTTTACTGTAAGACTGAGTAATGTCTTCATCTTCATTTAGAAAAGTATTTTTAATCAGCTCACTGTTTGGAGTGTTCTGGTGAAAAGGGGACTTTATTTGTCGTGTGTGCGTGGTGAACAGGAGATAGTCCAGAGAACCACTTTTACAGCACCTGGACTGCAGAGATAATCCTAGAAAAAGATACAGCAAAGAAGGCTGAGCAGTTAAGTGATATATTTAGCAAGGCGGAATTCCAAGCCCTCCTGATGTCTGAAGTAATTAGGGGAAAAAATTTAATCTTCTACATTATGCTTTTCCTATTTTTCTCTCATGTCAATGGAATTAGAGAGGACTTCGTTCAGTATTTTACCAAGTCAACTTATCTGCTAAACTGTACGAGTGCATGATCATTTGGATCGCTTTTCCAGAAGCATCCAGTAAATTGTCAAGAAAATGAAACATGCCCTGCTGTTTATTTGACGGAAATGGAATGGGAATTTATAGGCAGCCTGTTGTGGGGCGTGCTTGACTTTTCATTTAATCAACTCAGGCTGAAATTGGGAACACTTTCATTAGGAGCTAGAATAGAAGAGACAGAAAATCTCAAACCTATAAGAAATTAAAGAAGGGGCTTGCAGCTTTACTAAGAAATCCATCTTTCTTGTTCTTCTGAAAGAGTGGTCTCACCCTGAGTTTATAGACAGTTTTCACATTTCATTTACTTTACTTTTGACTCTCTGGAAAAACATTGTATTTCTTTGAATGTACAGTAACAACTCTGCTTCAGCTGATCTGTTTGATGTCAGCAATTACCAACACCTCATACTACACTGAAAAGGAAACAGAATTGTTTTCCAAGGTCCTCTTCACTACCTGTTACTCCTGATTAAATGTCCATTTGATCTTGCTTTAACAGTTTTTCCTCAAGGAAACTGAGACTCAGTCTCAAACTTGAAGGTGTTTTTTTGTTGCCTAAAGAACTTTCAGGGGTGCTTTTGCTGTRTAAGCTTGGATTGGCTATGAAGTCCTAGTGCTACCGGGTGTGTGTGTATATATATATCAAATTACAAAGATAAAAATCACCGGATTTAAATAAAATTATTAGTTCTGATTGAGGTCGAAAGATGACAACAGCAAAATTATTCACAAAGATAAATTATATGTTACCATTTCTTAAACATTTAAATGTTTTCAGTTTCTATAAATATTTTTGAGCAATGTTTATAAATAAAAAGGATTATCACTGCAACTGCATATTTGAGTTAGCAGGATATGTGTCATCTTTTAAAAAGCATTTGAGAATTTTAAATTCTGAATAGATACAGACAGGTTTCTAACAGTAAAGAGCATCTTGCTCCTGATGAGATCMGGTCCTCCAGTGCTATGGCAGAATCATTAAAGTGTGACTAGTCAGAGTTTAGGTTCTTCGAATGMTTTTTTCTAAGTGTGATCTTTTTGCTAACATCTTTCATGCAACTTACAAAAAGAATGATAAAGTGACATTTTTCCCTATCAGAGGAACATTGATCTCTGCACTCCTCCAGCACAAGGAGTGACAAAACAGAAGAAAACTTCAAGATGAGAGTTTAATTCTAAGTTTATGCTGACTTACTGGTAGTATAGTACTCTGAGTGAACCTTTTTTGAGTGTGMTGGATGTTAAAAAAGCTGTTTGTGCTTCCCAAAGGCTGAAGGAAGTAAAAGAAGCTTGAATATAAACCACAATGTGTACATCACAAAGCACAACATCCCTGCATTTCCTACAGTCTTAGATAGAGGTCCCCTACGTCTCAGAAGGGAGCTTGCTGAAATGGGGCTGCAGTTTGACTTTGGAGTTACAGCATTTGGTAGTTTCTTTTCTGATGGTCTGTTTCTCATTTCAGCAGAGTAAATGTTTCTTCTTACTAAATAAGTTTCTGTCATAGAGAGTTACTAGAGCATTGGCTAAGGACATTCTCAAGGAACTAAGAAGTTTCTTCTCTGCTTGTTTCAGGACCGTTAAATTCTTAGGATGTAAGATCTCGGAAGTGCACACGTGCTTGCCTGTGATGTAAGCTCACAGGTATATATTTTTTGTTTTCTGTTTTTACCAGAATTACTGTTCGCTGTATGGTAAGAGTGCTGTCTTTCTCAGTCTCCTAAAAGTATTTCCAAGTTCCTTGAAATATTTCTCTGGTCACTGGAGAGAAAAGACTGGTTATAGCACATTTGTTCCTAGAAAAACTATGTGTAGGAGGCAAATAGGTTCAAAAAAAAAAGTGGGTGGAGACTATAGGTCACATAGACCTGTATATAACCTCAGCTACATAAATTAAACTTGAGTGCAAGGCTCAGTCCTGTGTGAATGTAAGTACTCCTTTACAAGAGGAGCACTGCCTGGAAGGACGTGAGAAAATTTAGCTGGTTCCAGAARGTTGGTGGCACCTTTGTGAAGAATATGAGGCTTTTAGTTCTGGAGCTCTGTGCATTATGTGGCCAAAAAAAAAAAAAAAAAAGGGGGGGGGTGGCCAAGATCCATCTTTAATTTCTCTTGTCCTTAGAATATTAAATAAATAAAATTGATTGCTGGTATATTAGAGGAATGAACTGTAATGATGCTTTCCTGTCTAATGGTTGTGAGTCTAATCAAAAGACTTAAACACAACTTATGTAAATTGAGGCATGAGAAGGCTGCTTAGCAGTGCACCTGGCTGAAGTGATAGGTGCAGTCAAACTCTGTGGTATAGAGATGGACATTAATACACTTTATCTGAACATATAAAAATGAGGGCAAAGGACRATTCTCCTAGGTTGTGGTTTTTTGTTTTTAATCTCTTCATGTAAAGACTCTTCATTTAATTTTTTAAAWTTACTTTATTGTCTGTCTGCTTTGCAGGTATCTAAAGGCTTTCTCTTTGTTTCACTTAGAAAGTACAGAAAGAGTCAAGAAAAACTAAGGAACTTGTTGATCTTCAAGGTTTAAGAGTTCAGTATATTCTTTCCTCCTATTTTTATATTTGTTTAGCTTGGAGTGCAATGATCTGGCAACAGCTAGAAGCAGTGGTATTGATTAACTACAAAGGAGGCTATTTTGGTGATACTCCATCCTGTCCGGGAGCAGGAAGCTCTGAAAAGCTCTTGAGGGAGAGTCAAGTCTGGCTGTAGAGATTCAAGTAGTGTGGGCAAGGAGAGGAATTTTTTATTGCTTATCTCGTCTGAGCTGAAGCTCTGTAACTTTTGGGAGTTGTTCTTCTCCAATTCCTTTTGACATTTCCCTTTGACATCTGGTGGTACCTGCAAACAAGAGTTGTACGAGCCCTTCTAGGGGACTTKAGGCTTAGTGCTGAGAATGCCCTTATTGCTAGGTAGAGTAGCAAAGAAAGTTCTTGCTATTGTTGTTATGTTTTTCTCAAACCTTGTGCCCAGGCAACCTTGTTTCTGAAATACTGCTMTTCTAAGCACTTGGATCCAGCTGAGCATTTCAGCTAATGGAGTTACTTGAGATGGTTTCCTTTCTGAGTRTGCTTGCTGCTCCATAGAGGAGCAATTACTCTTTGCTGAGAAGTGCTGCACTAAGTTTCTGAGCATGAATTTTTCCTGCATTTTTCCCTGTGCTGYGACTGGATTGTAATTGCCCAAGTTCAGGTTTTGTTCAGACTTTCCATCACTTAAAATATTCTGTTTACTTYGCTATGACCCTTCCAGGATCATTAATGGTACTGCAGCATTTGCCAACGCAGTGGAAGTTGCTGACGTTTTTAAGGGCTTTTATGTGTATTTGTGTCACTGCTAGTTTTTTAGGACTGTTATTTGTTAATTCAGTAGAGAAACAACATAAGAAGACATTAGATCATGCTAGGCATGGTGTGTGGATGAGTTCTAAGTTACTGACATTTTGCCATCTTTTCACAGTTCATCACAACCTCACAATGTTATTTTGCACGCGGAAAAGTGGGAAGCTTAAAGTACTTGAGGAGGCTGTTTAAGTGGTAACAGCTTTGTAACTGGAAAACATAAAGGAATTTAGTGGTTGAGGAATTCAAGCCAAGCTGTCATTTATAATTCCTGTGGTCTCTTATTTGTTAAGGTTTTAAAGAAAGTCTTAACAGTTCATCCAAGCTGGGGAGGGGGCGAGAAGAGAAGAAAGGGAAATGAGATAGTAGGCAGTAGCCTGTAAATCTTTCATAGTGTTTGTGCTACATTTTTTGAGAAACAGCAATTGGTATAAATATTGTAAATGCTTTAGTGGAGAAATTAAGGGGTTTCAGGAGACTGCAAATAGGGACATGGAAATCTTTCCTTTGGATCTACCATTCTCTTGCAGATCTGTTCTTATGCAGTAGATGAGATGGATGTGACACTGGTTTGCTTCACCCCAGAGGGGATGGAGATTGTAAAGCAGAGGTGCTAGTGCTCTTTATCTTTTAGCTGAGATACTGGCCTCTCTAACTCCTTCCCCTCCTATTCATTCCTAGGTCTTATTTGCCCTTCCAACATTGTGCTGGAAGAGTATTTGTTCCTCCAATCCACTTTACCTATTTACCTGCAGTCCTTTTAATTCTCATAGTGTTTAAATAGCGTTGCATATCATAGAATCCTTAGTTTCCTTAAGGGTTGGAAGGGACCTCTAGAGATCATCTAGTCCAAACCCCCAAAACATGCAGGGTCACCTAGAGCACATGGCACAGGGTTGCGCCCAAGCGGGTTTTGAAGATGTTCAGAAAAGGAGACTCCACAACCTCTCTTGGCAACTAGTTCCAGTGCTCCTTCACCCTCACTGTCAAGACATTTTCCTTAAGTTCCTGCAGAACTTGTATGTGAGCATCAAAGAAATGTTTCCCATTACTTTATCTTTAGATACAAAGACAAGATCAAAACAGACTTTCCTAAGCATGCAGCTTTGTTTTCTGACCTGGTCTGCTGGTCTGAGATCAGTCATTCCGAAGGGATGTTCCAAACACGTGCATGTTAGACTGTCACTTTGGTTAAAATATCTTGGGATATCATCACCTAAGCAACTTGCAGAGTTTTATCACAGACAGTTGAGCTAATGCATTTACTGTAGGACTAAATATTTGTTGAATGAAATATAATTCTCCTGTAAGTGATTTAAAATCAGCAGGGATTTCTGTCTTGTCTCTTTCTGCAGAATCAGTGAATTTCTCATTCAGATTTTTCTTAGAACCTCCAGGGTGTTTTAGAGACAAGCATGGTTGAATTGCACTTTTAAAAAATGAGCAGATCAGTCAGACTTATTTTTCAGTTGCACAAAGTGTTCAGTAGGTTTGTAATCGGTTATCCCATCATAGGTGGCATGGGAGATGCTGCATTTCTTTCTAAACTTCCAACCTGTCCAGATTGGAAGCTGAGAGGTTACAGAGCGCAGGTTTGCTTCTCTGTGTCAGGTGTAGAGACAGCCTGAGCTAGGTGAGTTCCACCTTACTTTCAGAGTTTATTCCCTACAGTACTTAGAGCAGCTGATAATTTCAAGGGACTTGGAAAATGGGCTTTTTTTTCCTACCCCATAATTCCTTATATTTTTAAGGTGAAGTCTCATGCCCCACATGCCTCTCTTAAGATATCCGAAGAAGAATTCAGCTTGGTGCATAGCCAGGAGGAGCAGAAGAGAAATTCTTTGCTGGTTAGGTGCAGGCAATTTCATTTATTTTGTGTTCCCTGAGAAAAGGGATCAAACTGGTGTAGAAATCCAACTGTAGCGCTTATAAGAATTGCTAAGTCTCTACTCTACATAGTCTATGCAGTGTTGAATCAAAATATATGGATACATGGATCTGTTGATGTGAAATATAATACAGAGGGCTATGTTAAAGTTTTAATAGAGAAAGTACAGACTTTATAAAACTAACCATTAGAATATGCAAATGCAGAAAGCAGCCTGAATACATGCATTCAAGATGACACAAAAGTTTGAAGAGTTAAGTCTAGGTACAGCAGGAAATGGGAACAAACATACAAATAACGTTTGATTTWAAAAGAGGGGATGGAGAAGATGATAAAATTGATCTGTCCTTTTCATCCTCTGAACTCCCACACAACACAAAACAAAGCAGCTATTTTTTAGTAGCGTTTAGCATTGTAATTACTCAAAATCAGACCGAATGGGTTAACATTTGGCTACACTTCTGGGAGTATAGGGAGATGTGGACATATCCTCTCTTATAGATTCTTGAAATAGTTGTATARAAGGGGGGCGAACAAAAGCCTTTAGCTGCTTTGCAAAGGTTTGTGCAAAGACAGCAGAGAGAGTGAAGAGGTTCAAAGTGGATAGAGCAAAGGCTCTGGGGAGAGGTGATCCTGGGTTTGGAAAGGCCAACATTCCCTYCCTCCAAGCAGAGGGTACTGTCCAGTGCACACTGCTTCATCGGTGCTCCTCTGCCTCCCTGGGTGTGGGAATTGCATGATGTCTCTTACTGAGAACTCAGTGTAATTTTTAGGTGTGTGTATATATATGTATGTATAATTTTGGAACTTCTCTAGCTTTAGTTTCTGCTTTCTAATGGGCAGGAATGCAGGAATTTTCATGTATGAACCTTATTACATATTAAACTAAATTAAATCCATAAGTGACAGGTGGCAGACTGGGGTGGTGAAGGGGCATGAGATGCGTGAAGCAGCACCGGCACAAGTGATATTCTTAGAGCTTTTGCTCAGGTTGCTAAGGAAACTGTGCCTTTTTCTGTATGTTCCAAGTGTTGTTCCTAGCTAGACAGGCATTTAGACATTTGCTGGCAGACATACCACCATTTTCAACTTATCTCCCTCTATATAACTCTTGTTTGATTTATTTGGAAGAAAASATGGAAAGGAAGCATAGGCCAAAAGTTATTTGATTCTTAGGCATGTTTGTTGTTGGTTATGGTCTCACTGCAGGGGATCTTTACTGCTACTTTCACACAAGCTGTCAGTAGTTGCCAGAACTACTTATTTGGCTTTGGTTTAACAAATATTCCATGATATCTTGCAACATATTAACAGATATATTCTTGATTACTTATTGGGTGGATGGATGGATGACAACTGTGGGCACTAGTTGAACATCATTCGAATGTTAAGCCTGATCCTCTGTGCTTAACATACAAGCATGCAAGCTCACTTTGCACAAGAGCCATTCAATAGCTTTAAATGGGATGGCACGTATTTTGAGTATGTTTTAAGGTTTTTGGGTGGCCTATGTTACCAAACCAAGACCTTACGATAGAATTATCTAATATTGGATGTCCGTGCCTCAGTTCCTTATGTATTGGCCAGGGCAGGCACCATGGCTGTGGGACGGCTGCATGAGGACTGTGTCACTCTAATCCTCAACCTGCTTTCCCTTTTATGAAACATTTACCTCTTCAGATCAGCTCATATTTTCATAGCAGGCTGTTTGGGTAAGATTTTCTCTTCCTTGTCCATACTCTTAAGGTTTGTTCATCTTGATATTTGACAAGRGGCTGTGGGGGTATCTAGGGGCTTCTGGTTTGCTCTCCCTACTGAATGCATGCATCCTTAATGAAGTGATTGGCAGTGGTCTACTGCTTTTCAGTGTGTTTTGGGCCTATTGCTGAACCCTCTGAGATAAATGGCAAAACCCTGGTGCAAAATATTTACCATCCAGCTGAAGTCAAGCGTTAGTAGTTTTGGCAGGGATTGCTTAACTCCCATAGGTTTCTCTGAAAACCCCAGCCTTTATGAATATATTGAATATCTCTTTGATTATTTGAAGCAATGTGTTTAAAGAAGACAGTGAGTTGTTAACAGAAATTTGAACCTTTTCCAAAGTGTCTAATCCTTGTTTTCACCTGAAATAACTGTCAGAGCTGGATCTGTGGTTTTAAGAAACTCTGAGTTAACTTTCTCTGCATACTTTTGTCTGYATGCTAAGCCATGTCCTTATGAATGTGCACTTGGTGTTCTGAACACGTCTACGAATGTGTTAGAAAAACATTTTTCTATATATAAACATACACATCGTATTGCTTATACAGAGAACTTAGACACAGTCAGGAATTTTTTTAGGTATATGCTTTTGGCTAGAAACATTGAGTTGTTGAGCCAAACATTTCCTGAAAATGTAAATGCTTTTCAATGACACTTGCTGGGAAGGTCCTCCAGGACTGGAATGACAGAAAATAGAGAAGAAAGCACTTTAGAAATGTCKATTGCTGAATCACCCATGTAAACTCTCTGCTGAGAAGTAGGAAAATGTTATTCATAATAGTGTTCTGTGTGCTTCTCATCAAATACTGCGTAAGTGTTCCTGCAGGCTTAGTGGCTCTGTTGGTGAGCCGAAAACTCGRGCTTTCTGTCCTGATGCGGCTCTTTCACCATGAGTCTTTCAGAGCAAATTGATCCTACCATGGTCATTATTATTGACTTGAAATTAATGTTATAAATTTGGCCTAGATTTAATGTGAACTTTGCCTGAAACACCATCTGCCCTAGTCTGGTGTTAGTTTTTTTCTGCTTAGAACCTTAGATACTGTAAAAGTTCCTGCTTTTCAGGCTGTTTTAACCCCCGATGAAAACAGGACACAATAGAGCAGAAGGAGACAGTTTATCCAGGACAGATTTTCAAGTCTAAGGGTATCTAATCTCTTTTCTAATTTGGCCAAATTAATAACTTGCAAACAGATGTGGCTGATTACTCTCATGGTGTAGTCTGTGCTAACTGAGCGATGCTCATTTTCTTGTTTGAGATTTAAATACAGTAGAAAATGCCTAAATGTAGTAATGAAGGAAATATAATGCAGCATGGAYTCTTCTGGTTTGTTAATTTAGTTAGATCTCTTCATGGCTAAGAGTTACTCAACTCATAGTTTGAGTAACTCATAACTTTCAGGTAGTCAGATCTAGGAAGATTTCTTGTCCCTTGGGTCTGTGTGCGCTCTCCATGTGCCGACGACAAGTTGCTTGGGTATCCAGTGCTTGCTATTGATCTTCTTCCCATTTTTTAACTATGGAAATTTAGATRCTTGTCTGGGGAGAGAGCACACGTACTCACACAAGCTGTGTCGCGCTCAGACTGTCCAGCCTGGATGATTTGGGGATCAAGATCGTAAACCTCGCTAACTGAGAGTATTTACAGTTTTAGATGGAGCTTCACTCTCCTCAAATCCAAGAAATCTTTTTTACTCAAATCCAGAACAGTGACAGACCATTTAGACACTGCAATAACTAACTTTGAAGTCCTTTTATGGATTTATCCCTAAGTCAGTTAGGTGCTTTTGGAAATGCCACTTCATCTTTCAAATCCATCTAAAATTGCATTCCCATGACATTTCATTGAGCTGTAACATTTACAGTTTTATAAAGCTGAACAAATTTTAACTTTGCAAAAATGGAGCCTTCCACCATTGTTCATACACACAGAAAGGTTCTGTTTATGAAAACAAATATTTTTTGGCTGTGACTTTTTATGACTTTTCTGTAATTGCATCTTCCTCATACTTATTTGGCTTTGGGAATTCTTTTTTTCTCCCATATTTACAGAATATTAGCTAAGATAACACTTTAAAAGTGTMAATTGATAAACTATCACATGTCTTATAATTATACATAGTATGGAGAGCAAAAGACAAAACCTGAGTCTTAAATATTTCAAGCAGCCATATTCAGAGCTATGTGAAACATGTGAATAGTTAATTTCTTGATACAGTTGCTTTTGAGTTTGTAGAGATGTGTGCTTTGCTTGACTCTCAATGATGTGAGAAAAATTAGCATTTAAAACAAGGAGCCACAAGAAAAAGTATAAAACTTGTGATTTTCCTTCCAGCATATTCTTGGAACCAATATTTGTGGATTCTGAACCAAAATTTTTAATTTCACTTGTGTCAGAAATTCAGATAGTATTTTATTTTATGAAAGATTCCTTGAAAATAATTTGAAATTTTGTTTTATAACATATTTTATATTTCATGATGTTTTTGTTAGTATGTTCTGGCCAGTGTTTTTTATTTAATGCAATGATAAACCTAAATATGTTGTTTACTTTTTTGCAGGGTTCCAGTTCTTCCTGGAAATCCACTGTTACCTTTTTGTTGTGGTTAAGGGAGAGAAAAAGAAAAAAGAAAGCCAGAAGGTATGGCTTATTAGTTGCTTCATAGCAGAATGTGAAAATAGTCAGGTTGATTCTGGGACTTGACTTCAGTATCTATGAGCATGAGGTGAAATCTTAGAAGGGAATAGTTTCTGTGGGGAAGTTGCTGGTGAGGAATAGATCAAAGAAATTTTTTATATTATGAGAGCCTCTCTTCAGTGTTCACTATGATGTGACCAATTATCAAACAATATATTTGTTTTCTTTCATTTTTCATTCATTTGTTGATGCCTTGGAAAGAAAAACTCAAAGCTTTTATTTTTTTGACTGATGTACAAGATCACACCTGTTTTTTACAAGGAACTTAGGTGATAGTCTGTCTTCACAGTCATTAATACCWGTGGTTTGAAACTTCTACGTTGCTTATGTTTCACAAACCAGCTGAATGCAACCTAAGAGCCCCACTGTAATCAGTTAGTGTCATTCTCCCTTTTGGCAAAGCACTCCCCAGAAAGCACCATCATTTATACGAGTGTTAAAACTGTGAGTTTATCAAGAGCATTAGTCAGAACAGGACTTTGCTGAATGCCAGTTACTTAAAATCACTGGGGGTGTGAGAATGAGTCTTACCAAGTCACAGCACCTGGTTTCCTAACACCTGACTGTGGTCATAGTGAAGGATACAAAACTACCCTTCTTTGCTAAGTCTTGTATAGTTTAAAAAAATGTATTATTTGAAAAGATAAACTCTGGTAAGAATATCAAGTACTGACAGGCAGCAGAGAAGACCATTAATAAGATGATKTTTCATAATGAAGTTATATTCCTGAAACTACCAGTAGGTACAGTATTTTGGTTTCAATTAATCTAATCCTTGCAATTTAGTAACCACCATGGCAATATTGCCATCTTGCATTTGAATTGGTGCATAATAATTCATGTCAGTTATCAGGTAAAGGCACAGGACAAGGAAGAAATGCAGTTGTTTATGAAGCAATCAGAGATGCTGAGATGTCTCGGTGCCTGATTAATGCTTACATTATTAAAAAGTTAATGGTAGAGCCATTTCCTTGTTTTCTCCTAAGTATTCCAATAACAGAAGAAGTAGGAAATTGTAAATGTGGAGCAATGTAGCCTATGAGCCGCACAGGGCTAATAAACTGCTAGGCCAAACAACTGCAGATTGATAGCACAGTATGCAATTTAGTTCATGGCAAGCTGGGCCAAACCTTCCAGTAAGTAGAAGCTGATCGCTGTGTAAATATTTGAACCTTAATGTGCGTGTTCATGCTGGTTGCTTAGGCTTGTAAGCAAGTCAATGGTTTCTGTTAACAGTGGATTCTCATGTGCTTGCTCTCCATATTCTGTGCTCTGTTTAGTCTTTCTTCACTTTTTGGAGTATCAAAAATGCTTTGATATYGATGATTTCAGACACTTCAAATAATTTGCTTTGAAATACTTTTTGGATGAAGATTGTGGACTGTAAGAAACCAGTGACATGCAAATGCTGCCTTGTCTTTTGATCAGGCTGAGCCCTGTGTCATTAAGAGAAGTGAAGAACAGAGTATCATGGCTCTGAGTTCTCTAACTCTGTTAGAGAACGAGGTTCTCTGTAATACAGTATTGCCATTGCTTGTAATAGGCCATCATCTCTCTACTGAGTTTGCTGAACCTCTGGACATGTTAGCAAACGTGGTTCCTGAAGTGAGGAGGAATAAATACTCAACGTGAGTATCTTGTTCTTTTGGCAAAGGACTGCAGATGCTGACAGCTCACTGTAACAGCTTTCTGCTAGAATGAAATTACYAACCTTAGCACCCCAGCAAACATTGGAAGGGTGAGCATAACACCAGGAGAAATGTGAGTTTAAGCATTTTAACTGCATTGTATTCTTCTGTAATTGTTAGGTCTAGATTGCATTCCTAAGATGTCAATTATGGTAACAGTCTTTGACATTATACACACATAAACATGTTCATGGATGTACTTCTTTTCTCATAAGCCAGAGCTTGAGACTAAGAGGTCACCTATCTTGTGGCTAGACTTACAGACTTTTCTTTCTAAGAGCTATATACTTGATTGTGTGATGAGATATACAAACAAATGCTCTCTAATCATATAACCTTGTATGTGTGCTCCCGTATCACAGCAGGAGGGACGGATAGTGGGTTACTGCCTTTCAGCCCTTTTCCCATTAGGAGGAAGAGCTCAGAGTCCTGCTTTAGAATTTTCCTCAAAGAGGCCTCCTCTAAACAAGCTTAAACCCACATGAGAAAAGAAACTTCTTTCAAAAGAATTGATCTTTTAAGCAATGTTTGATCATATTCTCTTGCCTTTAACATTGCTTAAGGGTTTGTATGACTTTATTCTTATACAAAGAGCTACAAATTAAGCTTCRCTTGTTGCCTTTCTTTTTTCTGAAACCAGTTCAAAAGTAACTATTATAGTATGGAAAAGTTAAAACTGATGCAGGGAGTCATGTATATCTTTGTACTTCTTTAGGTTTAAAAAAAAAAAAAARAAATCTGGTCGTACCTCGGGGTACTGCAGTGGCAGAATGAACACAGGACGTGCCTCCAGGATTAGATGCAKGCTGCTGCCTAGATCTACCCGTGATACAAGCTGGCACGGTGCAAGACRATGCTTCTCAAAGGCACTTAGGCTTGTTACCATAAAACTAAATTAATCTTGCAGAGAACCCTGCCGGGGTTGCTCTTGCCGAGGAGGCTGGTCGTGGCAGKGCTCTGTTTTAAAGGGCTGTAAGGCTTTGGTTTATTTTTCGGTAGGGTATCATCACCTTCCGAAACAAGTCAGTCCTATTGTTTTTATGTGTGTAGGAAGCTTGAATATTGCTGTCTTAACTGCACAGCTTTGAACCCTGAGGAGTTTGTCAGTATCCCATTCCTGCCAAATAAAATCCTCCCTTGTCATCAAAAATCCTCCATGGGATTAAGCCTTACTTTCTGGTTCATATTATTTATTTACTCTTTTTTTTTCCTCTTCCTGATTTTTTCAGAGCCTTGAAGCTTAGTTACCTGGACCTAAGTTTGCTATCAGTAGAATGGAGATCCTGCCACAGGCTCTAGAATGAGAGAAAGGATAGGTCGCACTGGAACTGTGTAGATTTTAACTGAGCAGCATATTTAAATATGAAGCTTTTCTGGTGGTAATGTGACTACTTATCTAGTGTTAGTTTGGGAGGGACATGGAGGAGATACAGTCCAGCCCACTGCTCCAGTACAAAATGGTATTTTCAAGGGTTGTTTCTGACTTTGTTCATCCTTCAATGGCAGAGATATTTTAGTCTACAAAATTTTTTCTGGTGTTTTACTATTCTTACTATTCTTTCTATCATAATTCAGAGAGTGGCATGCTATGAGTTTCTCTTCTCTCTCTCTCTCTCTCTCTCTCTCTCTCTCTCTCTCTCTCTCTCTCTTTTTGGTCAAATTCTTAAATATTTGAAGATATTTATTGTAACTTTTTACCTTTCTCAATCCTAGATCATCTTTTTTGGTAACTAAAATACTTCAGTTCTTGAAAGCTGTTCTTGAAAATGGACATTTTTTTTGTTAGTGTCTAATGCAGAAGAATAACTTTACCTATTGCCAAGTTTGGGGTAATAACTTCCTGATTTTCCACAAATGCTGATAAAAATGTCACTGTGGTAGCATGATGTTTAACATGGCCTAGTTGCCATCATATTCATTCAAGATCCCAAGCAGCTCTTAGAAGTTCTGCAGTTCTACAACTATAGTGTCAGAGTCTGCTTAGAGCTTTAAAACTAGTTTGAATATACGCAGGTTGTACATACAGCTTAGATATCATATTCTTTCCATTTAGAATATGTAAAGTTCTCCAGTTTATTCAGGTGGTCCCAGATGGTTAGTTGAAAGAGATGGAGATATTGGCAAATCTTTACAGAAGCCCCTTGTCCTCAATGAAATACTGAATATTATTATCAATAGACTTTTAGCCTCATGCCTTTGACGTTTCCTAAATTAATTTCAAACTTCTAAAAAATGAGCTTGTAGATTAAAAAAAAAAAAAAAAAAGAGCTTCAAGATCTTTCATGATCTTGAAAGAGAATATTTTGGTACAGTTCTAGTGGACCTGTGGAAAATAATTACTTTGAAATTACTCAAGAGACATTGGACATTCTAAAATGGATATGAAGTTTTGAAAAAATGAAGATGATTCATTAATGTTAGTCTGAAACTGGTTCTAATAATTTATTTTAGTGAATACTAAGGATTTACTCTATAAAGTGTTTCTAAGAAGTGTAAAGTGTTATATAATCAATGCAAGCACTTGAAATCAAATGATCTTGAAATTAAAAAAGGGAAGAGATTTCATTTTTATGGGGAGACCTTACCCTTCTTTTCACCAATGTGATTTAATTGGATATTTCATTGTTCTATCTGGAGGAAATTGGGTAGTTACAGTTAACATTTTGAAGYAGGTTATCTTAATGATAAAATAAAAATAGGATCATGATTTTTCTTTCATTTTCTGCTCTGTTAAATATATTTGTACTCTATTTGCCAYGATTCTTCAGCATGCTGTACCCAAAATCAGATGTTCACTGGAGGTGGAGGTGTAGTAGAAATGCTAAAACATCTGAATCTGACATTTTTTTCAGATCATTGTGTAGGCCTTTGCAGCTGTGATTACTCCTTATGGCAAGTGTTTTATGTGGGTATTAGTAGAATCTGTGATAGATCTTGAGCTTAACTCCAAAATCAAGACTTACTTTTCATTTGATTAAAGAATCTGGAGCAGGATATTTTAAGTAGGATKTAGTTAACACATGTGGAACTGTCATTTTCCAGGATACCAGCTGAATTCCAGGATACCACCTGTGCTCTTCACTTGAGCACAGTTCTGTACAAACTTTCATTTCATCCAGTCATAAAATTTCACTGTCCTGGCTCCAAGTTGAAATATTTGAACAAGTATACTTTGCAGTCACAACTAGAAGGAAAAGAAAATCCAGGTTTTCTTTGCCAAATAGAGCAGATTCTGGTACTGTATTCC